ATGTAAACGGACTTCTTAACTATTTCTCATACCATGTAATATTCATATATACTTCAAACATGTGAAATAAAATCACATCTAACGAGTTAGGACATCGGAAACCCTTTTAGCATACAAAGCGCAAGGGCTTTACCCCGGGGGTCCAAAAACTAAAGGGGACCTAGCTTAGGGTTGACCCCTTTACGATCTTTTTAATATCCCGCTGAGAAAATTGAAAATTGACAAAAAAAAAGAAATCACGCGACATCAACATAGAAATTACACCCAACTGCAATGTTCTATATCAAACAGACTAACCGTGGGTTTCTGATATTAAAATCTCTGTATAAAACATATCGTCATCCCTGTCTTTCATCTTTGGTATAACAGCTATGACAATATGCTTTAAACGGAGATATGGGTCTCAGAAACCTACGGTTATAAGAGTTATGCTACCAACATTATAACATAGTGGTTCTAAGTGTCAAATATTTAACACCTTCAAAGCTAAGATACATCTTACGAGAAATCGTACGTATGTCAAAACCCCTTTACTATTTATGTCTTTATATGCAAATATATTTACGTAACAAAAGTGCTATAATTCACATAAAACGAATTAGTCATAAAAAAGTAGGTAATCATCAAATGTAAATGGTAACAACAAAGTGCATGAGTCATCATGCTGACCGGGTCAAGGTACGTGATTCCATGGTGACATCCGAAACCGCCCCGCCCTCAACATTTGTCATTTACGTACTAATTGACAAACAGTACAGCGAAATAATCTATTTATATATATTTAATACTGTCGTCCGCGACTTGTCCGCGCGAAATTAAAAAAAAAACTTAATAAGTACCTGAGATACTTTCTTACAAACATCCATCTATTCATTCATATAAACTTTCGCATTTAAAATATTACTATGATAAAAAGATATCTACTAAAAGTTGAGAAGGACATTTATAGAATAGTTTCAAAGTCTGAAAAAGTGAAGAAATTAGTTTTGAACCTACTAAAGTAATTAATTTCTTATCTTGACTTCTCGGCTTTAAAAAAATACTTTGTCTAAAAAACTCAAAAAATGTTAATAAATAATAAATATTACATGTTTTATTATCTGTTTAAAATAAATAATAAAAGTAAAAAATACAATTTAATTTTATAAATAATTCAAAATATTTTCTATTTTAAAATGATTTGTAAATCCATCATTCACTAAGTGATTTCTTGACACTTATTTAGTATGCGATTTTTTATATTTAAAATATTTCTGTTAGCTGCAGCGAGACATAATAAGAAATCTGAATAAATAATAAAACACATCTAAAACCACTTTAACATGACCTCTCTTATCAAAGGTCACGGCTTCCTTGAGAAAGTGTCGTTATATTATAAACTAACTGAAGGCACTTTCACAAAAATGACAGCAACAAATCTATCACTATGACTACGTTATTGAATGTCAACAGGAAAACAAAAACATTGCCATCTCTATCATTCTGTTGAATAAAAGGGAGATAAATATATTTTCGTATAAAAATGTTTTGGGAGATACTAAAACAACTACTTAATAGAAATGTTTTATTTGCAACATCGCCATGAAACAAACATAGACAACAGTCTAAAATAGCGCATAGACTAATCTTACTTTTCAATTCGATGTGAACGAAGTCGAAGGCGAAAGCTAGTAATATTGAAGTCGATGCACAAGTTTTCATATACGTCTTTACTCATACTAAGATTATATCAATCGAATTTAATATTAATCAGCAATAACGTAATAAATGATGACGTCTGTAAAGCGTATTGCATAGTAAGCGAAAACAAACGATGATTCAAATCTTTGACTATACAGAAACGGACTAGACAACGAGTCGCTATTGTACTGAATAAAAACGGAGTCAATTGCTATATACACATAAATATGCATATTCTAACACTAATGTAAAATTTAAACGTTTTTTTGAAAGAAATACTGTCTCGAAAACTTACACGCTAACAACCAAAGAAGCAAGTTTAGATAGTCGTCAGTTTCTATGTGACGCAGGGAAATGCGCGTTTAACATATCCTGTCTCTTAAAAGTTAAATATTCAAATGTTACCTTCCATTTTTTTATATCCGCACTTTGTATGACGCAAACGTTACAATGATATGCATCTATGATTAATTCACATTTCTGAAAGGTCAAAGGGTGACAAGTTCGTATCGAATGACACAAATTCGATCTTTTATTTCTCTGACACAAATAATGCATAATAGTTGCACCCGTTTTTACTGCCAAAAACAATATTTAAAAACATATATTAATGCTTCATTTTTATGTTTCAATTCACAGAATCAAACATTGGTTTTAGAGAGCTAATATCAGTTAAATCCGATAGTATAACTTAAAAATCTTACGGAGTATTTCATCAGATGTTAATAAAAGCAATCATTTGAATAACACAGTAAATACATAATATAAACAATATTGCAACGAGTACAGCCCCGAGGTTACAAAAACATTTCCCTCAACGAAATCAAAGGGAATTCTGAATAAAGCATTCCTCTACAGTGCAAGCTTTATTGGGGAGGTAATAAAAATATATGCCACCAGCAAACCGTGAATGTCGCCCATTTCTAAATTGCCTAAAACCGTAACGACCTCGAACAAATTCATACAGTGACGTGTTTTCGTCAATTTGAATAGGTAAGATTTCATTAAATTTAAATAACAGTCAATGAACGTCGTCACTTTTATAGAAAGTCGTTATTTCAATTGTTGAATGAGTTCAGTTATAAAATCAGCCGAGTCTTTACAATCTGTCTAGACAAGTTACGGAATGGCGATGTACACGATTTTCCAGTGACATGTATAAAATTAATAAAAAAACTCGTAACTATCGGCCTGTGAATGTAAGAGAGCGTGTTGTGTGGTATGAACGTTATATTTTATGTGTTGATCTTCAGCTGTCATTATCGTGGCGGCTTTGAACCCGATGCTTTGATGTAATTACAAAATATACGAATAGTTGCTATTAAATCCATATGTTACAACCGGCGCTGCGCGGCGTGTTAACTGCACATGAATGTTAACATCAAAATAAATAAAATTATAAAAAAGGACTTATATAAGCTTATAGTCTATATTAGTAGGAATCTAGATCAAGCTAGATGGTTACTGCTGTTAGAAAATCCTGCACATTTTGACAAAGTTAGAAAGCGAACAAACACTAATTTATAGCCAAAACACGAGTTTTGAAAGGGGAAAAGATAATAGCTTTCCACAGTGTGTTTTAAAGAATTAAAAAAGTATCACAGTAAATTATGATTATATATAGCTAACCCGTAAAAAAATTGATATAAATATTATTAAAAACGATAATTTTGTTCGAAAGATTTGTTTTAGCAAAAAAGTTACGCTTTGAATTTGCAAGGAAGCGCTTGTTGCGATACTATCGCCACTAGATGGCGTTAGCTTACTGAAAGTGCAACAATACAAGCGAATAAAAATGCATTGGAATCTCTTAACATACGTTTACGCTTTATAATTTAAATCTAGATTTTATTTTATATCTTATTAAACAGTAAATTCGGAATATATTTTCTTAAAAAAACAAATTTCAGTAAATATTCAGCCGATATATCGACCTACTCATTACCAACTTTTATTAATTTTAAATGTAAACTACTTATATCATATGTTTTCTTTATTTTAACCTTGGGCTATGTTTATTTTTATTTGCTTTATTTATTTATTAATTTGATAATTCTTTAAATTCGTAGTGGATTTCGTTATTTACGATATTGCGAATTAGTCGTCGTAATGTTTTAGTAATAGCGTTTTGTTGCTAGGCGTGGGGCGCCATCTGCCGGCCCGCATACATCGCTCACCTGAGTCCAGATCAGGTGGGTTGTTACGTTAAACTTTTTAATATACGCATTTTAACGCACGCAACTGCGCAACCGTCGATATATTTTTTTTTTATAAAAAAAACGCAAAGCGACAAGCGGGTCAGCTGATTTTATAACCACTGCAACATAGTAATAATTAAAAATATAAACTTTAGTAGACTTTTTGATTATCGTAATTTTTTTTTGTTATCAATATTTTATGAAACCGTGTGAAGTCGTGCGCGTCACTAACCTTTAATAGTCAATCTTCATATTTTATTTATATTTTTTATCTAAACATGTCACAACTTGTTGTAGCTATGATCGACAAACTGTCTACATTTTACGAAAAAGTCTCTTTGGCGAGGATCCAAAATTAATAGCGTATCAGTTGTGTACACCAATAGTTTCTCACTTCACTTATCATCAAGCTTATTGTAGGTTCCAATGGTTTTCGAATTAATAGTGAACATTAGGTATACAAATTTTAAAGACTTTCGTGAGTTTAGCCAAATTCTTAGGCCTTGTCCGTTATGGATTTCCATTTGAGAAGGCCCAGCATCAATATTAATTTTATTGAAAATAAGAAGGAACATATTTAACTTCGAATCCACAATGTTACTAAAAACCGGACAATATAACAACTTAGTCAAGCGGTTGTGAAGACACGACAGAATCGATAGCACCACTTTGGTGGTTTGGATAATAACAAATTCTGCAATTTCCGAAGTTAGTTAAAAAAAAGTTAGTTTTTTATACGTTGATATTGAATATACCTGTACAACTAAACTCAAACCTTATTTACGCATGATTATTATAATTTGATAAAAACTCAATTAATTGTAAACATTAAACAATATGACAATTAGGAACTACTCAACATTAGTAATAAATAGTTGATGAAATGATTGATACATGTTCGGCATAGAATTCGACAAATGTGCGGTTGTTTGTACGTTGTCGTCTAAATATCGAAGCACATACAGATATAATGCGTGCGCTCGCGATGTGTGCGCGCACGCGAGTGAGCGCGCGGGGCGGCGGGTGCGAGGGGGGGCAGGGGCGCGTGCCGCGGGGTGCGGGCGGCGCGGGCGGCGGGGCGAACAGCTGAGCGGGTATATTGACAGCACTCGGCACGTTGCCGCCGCGCTAGTACATCCCCTGCCGTCGCGGAGTGCGCACGTAGCCGCCGTTAATGCAACCGCCGCTGCGCTCGCCGTGCGGTCCCGTCCCGCTGAAATTATGACTTTTGGACCGTTCTCAGGCGAAGAAGGCAGCGCCAGATCACTCGTTCCGGAGCGGGTGTTGAGGATAGTGTCCAGGTACTGGGAGGTCGCCGGCAGTGTGCCCGCCGCCAGGCCCCGGTCCTCGTCTCCACACGAGCTGCTCCTCATCTCCCCATTCGGACTCTTATAAAAACTTAAACCTAAAAATAATAAACTTTGAAAAATTTTTTGCGAACATCAGTCGCTAGTGTTAAGTGCAATACGTGAACTGTGTTTTGTGTTTAGTTTCTGGGGATTTTATTTTTTTTTATTTGGATAAACGCAAAATGGTGCCCCAGCAAGTTTCTGAAGTGAGGTCTTTGACGCCCACGTCGAGCGGCGTACCGGTGTTCGGTTCGCAACTGGTCGACAAGAATTCTTCTACACCATATACTGATGCCACTCAGGTGAGTGAAAACTTTATCAAAGTGATCTAAAGTGAAAGAAAAAAATTAAAGTGAAATTTAAAAAAATAATAAAAAATTAACAGACGTTTAAAATAATGCTCATTCATAAATTACTTTAAATTAAAATATTTTCCTTAAAAATATCGGATTAGGTGCAGAATAATAATTCAAGATCAAAAAAAGCGCGCACAAAAAATAATTTTACATTTAAAAATGTTTTAGGATTATAAAATTCAAATTGATTTGTGTAAAATAAAAAATAAATACACATTTAAAAAAGATTTATGCATTTAAAAATGTAAATAGCAAACAAAAAAATTATTTCTTATTTTAAAAATCTTTTATTACTTAAAAATTCCAAAAATAAATTAAGAAAATATTCCAGTTTAAACTAGTTTAACACTTTAAAAATTCAACATAAAAACTTTTTATTAGTGGATTACAAAACTACCGACAGAAGTTACCGTCAAAACTAAGTTATAAAAAATAGGAAGTTTTTATAATTAACTATGAAGGATACAGAGTTAAAAAGTAAAGTCCCAAAAACTTCAGTAGACACGTCTTGATCAAATTAACTGCGGAACTTGCTTTCAATTTCGTAACTTCATCAAACTCTCAACTTCGCTATAAAATAATTAAAATTTCGACACAAGTTAATAATCAAAGATGAGTTTCGAATTTAAACTTCAAAAAGAAATTAAGACTGAATTTAAATTAAAATAAACTTTCAAAAGTGTTAGTAATAAAAATAATGCGTAGATTTGTGAGGATCGCATTTATAAGAACACGCCGTTCGCTTCAGTTGTTTTGTAAACATGTTTTTAGTTGCGGCGACGTATCTAAAAATTGATAAGTAGATAGATACGCAAAAACAAAATGACGTTATTTTAAAAACACAAAAATATGATTTACTCCGCTCAAGTGATAAACATAATATTTATCTTTTTAAAAAAAGTTAATTTTTAAATAGCGTTTAAACGACCCTTTTTTAATCTGCATAAATTGGTATTAACGTTCAGTGCACACGCACAATTAAAAATTTACCTTTGTAATTAAAAAGGAAAAAATTATATTTATTCAGTGAGGTAAATGTCGTATTAAAATCGGTAGGTAGGTAATGGTCGGTAAAAAGGGTTGGAGCATTATCGTTCAGATAATCTTAATAAACATCCATTGGGCGGCGCGGCGCGGTGAGGCGCGGTGAGGCGGTTACACAGCCAGAAATTCAATTCGCTAAACGGCTTACTAACGAGGAATAATGATGTTGTAGCATGCGATCCAGTGGGGACGGAACCACTGGAATTATAACAGAATCCCACTTACACACCGGGATCAAGGCCCTTACTATCTATCCATTTTCTAAGAAAACATTACTAAAAATCGCTATAAAGTTATATATTTTTAAAATTTGTATTTCTTTTTTCAAAAAATTAAAATAGATTGTATTTTAAAAATGGCTAATTCATTTTAAATTTAAAATCACATTTTCTTTTTTAAAATCAAAATTACCTTTATAAATTAAGCTATCAAAAATAAAACATTTTTTATTTTAAAATCGAAAATTCTTTTTATTATTAATTTTAAATACATTTAAAATGAATTTAATAGACGATAGGTAATTTCCTTACAATTTGAAATTATATTCAATATCAAAAAATATTGTGCAATTTTGAAACGAGTGCTTCTAATCACGTAGTCAATTCTCAGTTCTCTGTATTTTTAGTATTCGAGAACATCACGTGCCTTTGCTTCTATAAATTAAAATTAATAGCTAATAAAAAACCTAAATTGTATGTGTTAGAAATTTTTATGAAATTGTCAACAGAATTCGATTGAAAGTAATCGTGTGATAGGAAATGATACGAAAACGTCACTGATAATAAACAACACAATCGGGCAAATGTCGCGGCGAACATTCGGCCACCGGTGCAACGACACCAGATAGCATTCTTCTTTTTTAATTTTCGCATCAAATATACTATATCGTACGATAGCGTTAAAATGAAGCTATAGCAGTCAAAACAATCGATATAATAAAAAAAATGGAGTCAAGATATTTATGTTGTGCCAAGGATCGAGCGAAATGTTCGTAAAATGCGCCGGCGCAGCGCAGAGTGCATTAACATTTCAATGTCAACTCGTAATATTTTTAGTCATCCTCTTGCGTGTGTGTGTGTATGGCCTTTCTCGAGCGCGATTACTCGTACGTACGCTATGGCCGTGTGATGGCTCGCTACTAGGAAATTGTAATCACGGGGCATTAGCGTCGCTCATTTCTACGGAATATTCAGGAAAATCGTTTTCGGCTATCGCGTCGAATTGTCGCACGATATTGCCCCATCGTTGCAATCTTTTGAAACGATCCTGCAACACCAGGAAGCGATCAATTAGTTCAATCATTGCTTAGTGAAACACTTTAACAATGACTTAAGGTTTACTACAGTCACGAGATGATAACAGACAAAAAAATTATAATTGTAAATTATTTTAATTGAATGTCGATTGTAAAATAGTTTTCCGTTAAATAAGAAATACTTGACGATTTTACTTGGACGTAAATAAATGCGTTTCTATATTATTATAATGGTTGGTATGAGACGAGGTGAGTCGCGTCGGCTGCGGGTTTTTATTGCTTGTTTTAGGAGGCGGCAGCGCAGCACGTATCGCGGGTTCGAGGCGACAACTCCGCCAAGGTTGCGGGCGCCTCTGTTTCCTTTTATTGCTACAATTGTGATTGTCCATTCTCCAAACCGATTGTTAGATTATACGATTGGGACTGAAAAACTCGCTCCGTCCGACTTTTTAATTTACTTTAAGCATTTGCTAGAAATAAAAGGCGTCCTATAAGAGCACCGCTAACTTTTTCCTTCGTGCTTATCTAATATAAACTTGAGTCGCGTTCTCCTACAACATCCAATCACGAAATACTCCCTCTGGTATTTAAGGAGTGCTTATCTTGTTTTGTTTTTACTTATTATTTTGATATTAAACGTTAAGAAATCAACTTTTATATTTAAGTGGTTAGGATTATTTAGTGTTTTGATATCATGTTAACGGAGTTGAATAACAAAATAAATAGCTCGTAAAGATGGTCCTTTGAAATCAATTTCGTATAAAATCTTTCCGTGTTTAAGTTTATCGTTTTAAAGTAAACAAATTTATGTACCCTAAAGTACGATGAGCAGTGCGCAGTGTGCAGTGAGCAGTGCGCAGTTGTGTGCAAATCAAGGTTTGATTGTAAAATACATGTCGACTACGGCGAATGCAATTTGCTGTTGTGGGTGGTGTTTTAATGGCAACATTATGTTAGGGAACGGTGATTGTTGCTCAAGAGAATTGCCTCGCTTCGACTCGCTTTGCCTCGACTCGCTCTTTATACAAATCTTGCTTACACTCGACTCGACTCGACTCGACTCGAGCTTTTTGTATTCCAAAATTAAAACAAAATAAACTGACCAATTACGATACACATAAAGTATAAAGAATAATTGGGTTAATAGTTTCAATTTAAAATAGTCGTATAATATGATTTTATTTTAATTACGTTGATTGTAGTTAAAAATACTATTATTTTCGGCCAGTGTTTAACAAAGTCGATGGATGTAAGACAAGTCTGCAACTTGGAGAGATTCTATCAGTAACGTGTACAAAAACTCTCGCAAACAACAATAAATTTGCTGCAACGATGCAACAGCAAAATTGAAACGAAATATCAGCATAAAATTTATAGCCTGCATGTTCATTTTAATAACTACCCTTAGTGTAGATTTAGTCTCAGAAATCTACATTAAATGTAACAATTTAACAACTCAGTTATTTATTAAAAAGCTACTTTCCAAGGATTTATGATAATTATTTTTCTTAAAAACAAAATATAAACAAGTCATTATTTCAAAGTAATCTGTAAAAGATTACAATATCTTAGAAGCTTTCAGAAACTAATTAAACTAAAGTAAACATTCTCAAATGATTGAACTAATTTGGGGAATTTATAAATTTACTTTGATTCAAATCTATTTCTCGATTAGCAACGCTTTTCGTGAATTTAATAGGACTCAATAAAGATATTTTGTTTTAAAAATTGATATTATAACGTAATATTACTTGTACTTTTCGATGCAAGTGATGTAAAGAGTTACATCTCTATGTTAAGAGTTATAACTTTTTTCTACTGTTTATATAGTCAATGGATTGTGCGTACACAAATAGTTGTATTAAAAGTTTTGCTTACAGTTTTGGTTAACCTGAAAACTTTCGCAAACAGATCGTTCTTAATCCGAGCTGACTTGATTAGGTGTTCACAAGTGCCAACTTTATCACTCAACTTTGATTGGAAAGTGATGAAGTCACCGTAAAACTAACAATATCGCTCTTTTCCTATTATACCTAAATATAGTTTCTTACGAATGAATAAGCATTGTTGATTTTTTATTGGTCTTATAAATAGATTTGTTTGTTACATTTAAGTGAATGCCAATCACTAGATTTAGTAAAATGAGGAAGGATAGGTTTATGCAAGAAGTGAAACTAAGTTGTTATACCAAAATCCAAAGTTAAATAGTCATTCAAAATTAAATTATTTTTATTTAGTAACATTCGTTATCGAATTGGTATAATTTCCAAAGGGACTATCTCTAAGTTGTAGTAATTCTCGTTTATCCAAACCCGATAGAGGAATCGTTTCGCTTTGTTTAATTCAGCATCGAACCGAAAGTCATAAAGTTTACGACCGCTCCTCGAACTGCACGGCCGCTTTCCAAAAAGAAATCTCCAACACATCCAAGCTCTGAATCTTTATAGCCTTTCTTATCAGTTCCTTGCCTTGATGGTGGAATTTATTCATTTATACGATGCAACAGCAACGCAATTATAATAAAATTAACAAATATATATATTGTGTATAGTTCGATCGAAAATATTACATCCAAATGGCTCTCAGAGTTCCTAACCATAGATTTTTGTTACTAAAAAAATGAAAAAAATAGAAAAATAAACAATAT